GGGCCTACCATACACGCATATACCGCCAATATATCCTGGTCCGCAACACGCAAGCGAGGCCGTCAGATCCCCGATACCTGCTCGCTCGCTCGCCGACCTTCCTTGAAACCTCCTACCGCCAACCCATTACAGCTCCCCAACCCCCCACCTATACCTTATCTCCAAACGCCTCCGACATCCAGACTAACAAAAACCCCCACAGGCCCATCCCGCTGCTTCCCCTTCTGGCAAGAAGTCCTCGCGTGCTACACGACCAACACAAACGCCGAGGACAACTCCGGAAAGGCAAAATGCGCCCCCGTTCTTGAAGACTACTACGAGTGTCTTCACCACAAGAAGGAGGTCCGTGTTTCCCTTTCTTCACTCTCACTCAACGCACATACATACACACTTCTCTCCAATACCAAAACTTACACATGTGTTCAACAGGCCGCACGCACTCTTGCCCTGCAAGCTGCCTACCGCAAGGCCGAAGCCAACATAAAGCGCGACGATGCGCCTTCTGCGGGCGAGATAAGGCGCCTGGGTGTTTTGGATGCCCCGCTTGAGGAGAAGAATCTTAAGCCAAGCAAATGGTTTCCTCATAGGCAGATCAACTAGATGGGCGGCAGGTTGATGGATAAGGGCAGGAGAAACAATGATATGCGTATGTATGCATGGCAAATCTCTCGTCTAGCTGGCATACGGAATAACGCAAGAAGTGATATGTTCAAATGTGTTTCATGCAATTGTGATGATTCATGTATTTCACTGCTATGGAGACATGTATGCTTATGCCACATCACCCCACGCATCATGGATAGATGACAAGAGTAAAACTACAAAGGTAAAGATACAAAGATACATGGCATCATCAACGATAAATGCTTCTCTTCCTCCACCTCATCCTACCCCCTTTTTCGTTGAACCCCCCACAACACTCTCTCCATGTACACAACAACAATGAATAACGCCATAGCGGAGTAGTCTAGCAAGTGCCCCCTCCTTATATCCCTTTTCCTGGGGTAACAAAAGGACAAAAACAATAACCCCAAGTGGAAAACAACAACAAATGATGCTAGTCATACAAGATGCGGATTTCTCATCTGACCTGACCTGACCATGCCCCTGCAAAAAAAAAAGAGAGAACTTTATACAGACCGAATCAGATGATGATGAAAAGGGAAGGAAAGACCCGAAAGCTAATCAAATAACACATGCAAATATCCGGATTTGAAGAGAAGAAATAAAAACGAAGCAACCACCCTCCAAACAACCCCCGTTCAAACGTCCCTTTTTCATTTCCCCATGACAAAAAAGTCCGATATCGATATATCGTTCGTGCTCATACTTGCATGTAATCATTCTCATTTCAGGCCATCTGTGATTGTCTCTCTCTTTCTCCTCTACTCCCACTCCCTCCGCCCCTTACATGTTCGCGGGGACGCTTGTGCGCGAAATATGCGGGGGCGGAGGCGGCGGTGTAGCAGTTGATCGACCGCCAAGACTACCCAGGCCATGAGCTTGAGCCATGCTGCGATGGAATGAGCCGATCTTTTGGAAACCCCTATTTGGTTGCAATTTTGGTCAGTTGATTGGTTCTTTCATTTATAACTAGGAGAGTTATACCACAAAAGTGGTAAGACGGAGGTGTGGGACAAGTACGTACTTGGAAAGATCATAGCTCTCTTCCTCGGGTTCTGCTTCCTCCTCGAAACTCCCCAGACTTGCTCCTCGTACCATTCCGCCGCTGCCTACAATTCCCAGTCCTAATCCATTGACATTACTATTTGACCGTGACCGTTGGCTTCCAATCTCGCGCCGGCTGACGGGTCGAGAAACTGTGCGGCTTGGGCTCTCCGGACCAGCATCCTCATCGTCTTCACCCTTCAATTCACCATCCTGGTCTTGATCATCTTCAGGCTCGGCACTCCTGCCCGGTAGCATAGGCGGCGAGCTAGGGTGATTGTCATCTTCGTCGTCACCATCCTTGAAATCCGGACGTTGTAGTTTGATTGGACTGAGCTCAAGGGGTCCTTTGGCAGGCGTGCTAGGGAGATCGACAAATTTCCAAAAGGGAGCAGGACTGGAAAAGGCCATATACTGGCTAGGCATTTGGGCAGTGCTGGGAGGCGCAAGGCGAGGTGCATGCCTCGTAACCAAGGGTGTGACAAGCGCATTGTTCACCCGGCCTGTATCATAGCTACCGCCCATACTATTGGAGGCGGCATCAGAGTACAGGGTTGGTGGAGAATTTCCTACATCGGTCTTCATCCCAGGAACGCTCTGCTTGACAGGGTCTACACCAGGCGAAGACTCGAGGTGTCGTTGAGATTCGTCCTGTTTGATATAAGTACCTTGTCCCTCGTTGCTTCCATACATAAGTCGCTTCGCAGGTGTGACAAAACGATGGTCCTGATCACGGGTGTTTGGGGACTGCTTGAATCCTCCGTATGGACGTGGGCCACGGTCCGGGGTATATGACTCGTTTGCGACAGGGACGGAAGAAAGCGGAGGCGTTGCAGAGCGTGGGGGTGACTTGATGCGAGGAGCGTATTGTTGAGAGCGATTGTCACGCTCCAAAGCACCCACAAGACGCTCGGTGGCCTGGGTTGGATTTCCGAGTGCAGGAGAACTAGGCCCTGAGCCGTCGATACGATACCCTATAGTCATACCGCCACCCTTGCGAGGATTGAGAAGCTGCTTCTTGATAAATTCCTCCTTTTCGCTGTCGGCAATCTTCCACTTCATGCCTTTTCCCGGTTCATCCGTGCGGCGTGCAACCTTTGCGAACGACTTGTTCAGAGACAGGTTGTGACGAATGCTGTTTTGCCATCCACTGTTGGTGTGTCGAAAAAATGCATAGCGGGCTTTGATGTAGTCGTAAATGTTGGCAAGAGTAAGCATCTCCTCCTCGCTACTCAAAATTGCTTGGCCGATGAGCTGGGCATAGCTATGGGGTGGCTTGATATCTTTGGTTGAGTCTAGACTGTAGTCAATGTCGTCTCCTGTGTCCAGAACGACAGACCGGGAGAAGGTAGCAGGCGAGCCTTTGCTACGGGGGTCCTTGTCGGCACGGAATGTCATGGGCGTTCCTGGCTGACCACCCGGAGTAGATGTCATCTGGTTATAGTAGGCCTGTGAAGACTGGTGCTTATGGCGAGGGTGCGAGGATGGTGGAAACGGATCATATTGATCCCGCTTTGGTGTCGGTCCGCTAGGGTGTGCATGTTGGTGAGACTTTGGCGGCGGGTTACCGTCATTGTCAGACTCGGCAGCATCTTCATTCTTAACCTGGCGCCATAGCATAGGATGAAAGTGGTCCTCCTGGTTAGCGAGGAGGAAAAGCATCTGGGTGCTCATGATGCTGATGCAGATGCCAGAATGCAGGGCGGCCCGGTCTCCCCTAGTGAGATGGCGATCATCGAGCTTGAGGCCATTGCGGCTGTTTACTGTAATGTACCATTTTTGGTCCGAGGGGTCAAAGTTGATCTCTGCATGAACACGGGAAATTTGGCGCTCGGGACCAAGGTCAATATGTACGCCCCAATCCTGGCGCTGCGAGTCGCTCATGGGCATGCCAGCAAGGTCGGCCTGGGAGCTCTGGGGGTTGGCACGGCTGCTGGAGTCTACACGGCCAATCCTGACCTGCGTGTCCTGGACGAAGAAGCACCAGTCACGCGCAGCAATCTTTGCAAAGGCGGCAATGTTCTTGCCCTCGTTGCGCTGCGACTGCAGGTCGTTTGCATAGTCGATGGCGGCATTGGGCGTGTATGCGGGGGTGCGGAGAGCGGCAATGACGAGGTTCTGGCGCTCGATGGGGTCCATGTTGTTGTCTGCATCGCCGCCGTTGGGGAGCGTCGTGTTGGAGTCGTTGCTGGCGACGGACTCGGTGATGCGGGTACGGGGAGGGTCTGCGGCAACCGAGGCAGCTTCGTCCTGGGCAGAGCCGTTCAACTGTGCGAGTGAGTACAAGTTGGCCGCAACACTAGTAGTTGTTGGGCTGCTCACCCGCCTGCGCTTCCGCGAGGGCGTGGCATCTGGCGTGTCGGGGTCAGATTGCTGCTGGGGCTCTCTGCGCGAGCGGAGTCCACTGCGGCGGGTCGACATGGTGCATGCGCGTGTGAGACTGTGCCAGAAGCAATACGGTCAGCGAGTGCATGCAGCGGGAGGGCTATGTTTTTGTATATTGCATATGTGTGTTTTGCAGGGCGCTGAACCATGGGTGTGGCCAGCGAGCCATGAAGGCGCGAATGGCTTGCGCCCCACCTGCGACTCGACACAGGCGCGCGCACACACGCACACACAGACAGACGAGCAAGGACTGGGTGCTTACCGCGAAACGTCGGTGCCCAGTTCCTAATGCAATGCGCACGGTGCGAAGAGCAAGTGGCGAGGCGGCGGCGGGGGGACAGCGGAAGGGGGTGGGAGGTCGCAGGCGCGGGAGGTGGAGGTGGTGGTGGTGGAGTGGAAGAAGCGAGAAGGAGGCGTGCGGTGGGCGGCGGAAGCGTCGTCGTGGTTGCCCAGTGGTGTTTGTTATTCCACGACGCGACGGAACAGCTAGCGCGGGCGTGACGATGGGCGCGGATGGCACAGCAAGCAAGAGGGCCAGCGACGCGTGCGGGGGAAGAGGGCAGAGGGTGATGACCAGCACTTTGGGGGGCCAGACGCGCCAAAGGGTAGGGTTCGGGGGGGAAGCAAGAGGATAGCTATCGATAGACGGATATCGAGGGCGTGGAGATAGTCGCAGAGCCGCAGGAGGCCCAAGGAGACGAATTACGTCGCTGGCCTTGCCCGATGCCCTCTGCTCTCCCCCAGCCCGGCATCCGTGCGCGCACCCCGTTGTGTCAATATTCACGCTACACATACGGAGGAGCCGGCGACGGCGGCACGCAGGACAAGCTCGCCGGACGAGTGTGGCTTGCCAAACACCAGCTGTGTGTACCTAGACACCAGCATACTCTTTACCTCGACGCACACCGTCAACGCCGTGTTTGTGCCGCGTGCGATGCTCTCTGCCCATGTCCTGTCCAACGCACAACCACCACCATCGCCCGCGCACTGACAACAACAATGACGCTGCCGCTAACCAAAGCGTTCGCATGCGCCGCCACACACCACACGAACCAGTCGCCAATCGTTGCCCCATCCATCCCCCAAGTGCTGACTCAGTGACGCGTGCAAACCAGCATTGCGCCCGCCCGCTGTCAAACAATGCCCTTGTTCATGGCTCCGTCATCACAACCACTGCTACAATGAGACTGCTCATACTTACATATTGAGCATCCGAACACTGTCCACTCTCACCCACACGACGTGCGTAGGAGCAAGATTTTGCAACCGCCTGACTGCCCTTGCTAGCCCCATCACGTGAGCGGCTCCAAGTTTGCTGCCTGTTTGCTACCCCTCATCCTTTGACGCTCGTCATCCCACGTGGACTGCAAAAAAATAACCTTGGTTTTCTACGTGCTCACACGCATACAATCACTTCACCAAATGCGGCAATTGACCTTGTTTGAATAAAAAAATATCTTGTTCGTAACAGCTAGATGTGTATGTATGTCGAAGCCAATCAACATTAACCAATTAAAACAGCAACTTGTTGGCTATTAAGAAATTCCTTGGTCGTTTCCCACCATAGCAAGCCCATCTATTTAAAGCTGCTAGTGTCCAGTGGGGCAGAAAGAGGAAGATTCCTCGAACTAGCACCAACGTGGATCGTCTTGGGGTATTCGGAAATGACCCAGTTCTGGCTGACAGTGTCCCAGTTGCTGATATCACGGCGGGTGATGTTGGCAGTGAAGACAGCGCTCTCGCCGGGCTTAATGGTCAAGCGGTCAAAGTCACGGAGCTGCACCTTGGGGTCGTGGGGGCCACCAAGCGAGATGTACGCCTGGGCCACCTCGTCACCAGCAACATCACCAGTGTTAGTGATCGTCGCCTCGACCTTGAACAGAACGTCCCAGAGCTGTGGGTTACCACCGGGCGCACCACCAGCCGCGATACGCGCCTGAGGCGAGCCATCGGTAGAGCCTGCGGGCCAGGTAACGTTGAGGCCGTACTCGGGATCCAGAGATGCCGTCTTGAGGTCAGTTGAGTTGAGGTAGGGGTAGATGAACGTGTCGGGGTAGATAAGGCCGGGAGGGTACTGGTAGTCCGCAGGGTTCTTGCTGAAGTTGCCAAACGTAGGGGCGGCCGAAGTCTGGCCGGTGAAAGGCTTGTAAGCCTCAGCAGACTGCGCGGTGACCTTGAGGTCCGAGTATTCAAAAGTAGTGTACGAAAGACCAAAGCCAAACTCGTACGTGGGCTCAATGCCCGCCTTGTCAAACGCACGGTAGTCGATGAAGACACCCTCTTCAAAGTTGGCCTGGGGGCTGAGGATGCCGTTCGTGGGCTCGTAAATCACATCAGGGCCATACTCCTCTGCAGAGCTGCCAATGGTGAAGGGGAGCTTGCCACCAGGGTTGTGGTGTCCGTACAGAATGTCAGCAATCGAGTTACCAGACTCCTGACCAGGAAGACCAGCCCAGAGAATGGCGGTCACGTTGGCGTTCTCCTTCCAGGCGTCAACAATGACTGGACCGACAGAGTGGATAACCACAATGGTGTTGTTGCACAGAGCAGAGACGTTCTTCACGAGCACATCACCATTGCCCCACACAGTCAGGTTGTTGCGGTCACCCATGTTGTCTGTGGTCCAAAGTTAGCAAAATACAACGTCTATCCAGCGAAAAGACAAAACTTACTGTCAACCGTGATGTAACCTTCGCCAGAGTCGGCGTTGACGAAAACAATCGAGTGGCTGGCCCTGCCGGCCATGTTCTGGATCTGCGAAGTAGCGTAGTTGTTGGTGACCGAAGTGATCACGCCGCCGTTCTCGTTGACCTCGCGCTTGATGGCTTCGAGAGGAGTGATAAGGTACGGGAAGTCTGCAGTTCCTGAACCCCAGCCCATGGCCAAGGTGCCAGAGTCGCAGCCGCGGTCAGGGCATCCGTTAGGACCCAATGGGTTTTCGCCAGCATCTTCTCCGAATACAGCAGTCCACTTCTCCTTTCCAGAGAGGGGAAGGACGCCAGAGTTCTTGAGGAGAACAGTCGACTTGGCAGCAGAGCGGCGGATGGAGCGGAAGTGTTCCTCGCGAACGTCAACGTGCTTGTTGATCAGGCCGAAGCTCTTCTTTCCGAAAAAGTGCTCGAATCCGTATGTGTCAGTTTGCCAGCTGTCAAAGTTAACGGGGGTAGACTCGTCACGGCCGACAAAGTAGTATGCGGTCATAATACGGATAGCCGCATCGTCGAGACGCCACTGAGGAATGGTGCCGTTGAGAATTGAGACGGTCATGTTAGTGCCCCAGAAGGACAGTCCAGTGTTGAACCCAGTGTCACCAGGCATGGTCATGTCCAATCCGGCATAAGCCGAGGCAACACCCGAGTGCTGTGCATCCCAGTCAGATCTAAGCATAATGTTAGTTTCTCGTCTTACTTTTACAAAGTCTATCGGTATGCTTACACAATGAAACCCTGGAAGCCAAGCTCGCCCTTGAGAATATAATTCTGGAGGTACGAGTTTTGGCAGACTTGCGAGTTGTTGGCCTTGTTGTAAGAGCACATGATGGAACCAGTACCAGCGCGGACGGCGTCGGCAAAGGGCCACAGGTAAAGCTCGTGCAGAGTCTTGTCGTCGGTATTGGAGCTGATGGCATCGACAAAGGGGATGTCCTTGAAACCGCCGGGCTGACGGAAATGCTCTTGCTCGTTCAGAAGGTAATGCTTAGTGCAGGCAATGACACCAGCATCCTGGATACCGCGGACGGTTTCGCCCACGGCCACACCGGAGAGTACAGGATCAGGACTGAAGCCTTCCCAGTTACGCTAAAAGCCTGTTAGTGAATGCAAAGAAAAACTGAGTAGTGTAGCAAACTTACACCGCCCTTGGCGTGGCGACCAAGAGGTCCAATGGCAGGACCAAGCTGAACGTCGACACCCTTCTTACGGTGCTCCTTGCCCATCTCGTTACCGCGGGTGTAAAACTCATAGCGGTCCCATGATGCAGCAATGGTGCCACCTGCTGGGAAAGCAGAGACGTAGTCTGCGAAACGGATGCCGAGAGGGCTGTCTTGAAGGCAGAGGGGGTCAAAGCCAAGGCGAGGAATAGCGCCCACGTTACCAACGCAGTGGTCGCTCTGCCATCCAGTGCCGGTGGTGAGGTTGACCTTCTCAATAAGGGTCAATTGGCTGACAAAAGCCTTTGCTTTTTCGTAGGCAGCCGCCCAGTCCTTTGTGGTAGGGTCTACCCAACTGGTGCACAGTTAGAGAAATGTTGCAAACATCAGGGTCTACATGGTCAAGTTTGGGTGGCACCATAGCTAGGGCCTACAAGGCGCACCCGTCACCCGCAAAACCAGTGCCGAATGCACTACTTGCAGCAGGCAGGGTCTTTCAACGTAGAGAACAGCATATACGTACGGACTTGGGTAGAATGGCGGGCTCTGGGCATTGTTCAAAGAACCACTGCCCGTGTCGTTGGCAGCACGAGGGAACCTGGGCGATGCCTTTTGTCATTGTCAGTTTGAGCGTGCAAAGAGAGCGTTTGAGTGCAATTGCAAGGCGACTGAGCAGGGCCAGACTGGTATTGTCGGCAGAGTCATGTCGTTGGCATAAACGCATGGTGGCGTTTGTTTGGACGTACCTGGGCAAGGCCGACCAACAATGCTTGTGCAAGCCACAACATGGTGGCGTCTGGGTGACTGAGGAACGCAGAGGCAGAAGCACGAGCAACACAGCAACAGATGCTACTTGTGAGGCAACCTGCAACGAGGACTTAAATGCAGTCGCAGACACAGTGCAGACAAAAGGTCGGGGCATCGTGATGACTTTATTTCATTGCGCGCCCAAGCAAGGGACAAGGGCAGATCGTCCCCAACGACCTGTCTCCATGCTAGCACCATGCGCCTTGCCCCATCGCATCCCCAGGCGCAAGCGGCAGTCCGGGATGGCTCTGGTTGCGGGGACCATGATGCATCATTGCCTGCTGACCCCTGCCCCGCCCCCTGGCGTCTCTTCACAGAGCACCGCGTCTCCCTTTGGACGGCCAAGTGGCCGTGGTGTTGTTGGCTGCTGGCTGGACATCGGCTTTGGGTGTGGACATGGATACTATCCAAAGGGCTGCCGAACAAGCTGCACAAGACCGCAAAGCCGGCATCGATATGTCGATATTTGCATTCCCTTTCCCCCATGCATCCACACCGGGAGGGCGTCGACTGCACATCCATCTGCACTCGAGTAGGGCGCCCGGCCAATGCATGAGCCGTGCACAGGGCCTGGTACATCGTCATCTACCATCCTCGGACGTGCACACAAGCTCCCCCTCCGAAGCCTTCTTGGACGCCACACAACCGTCCAAACTCTGACAAGGAGGGTTGGATTGCGCGCTATCTGGCTGCCCGTGTCATTTCCCTCAAGCCCAGCACGGCGCCCAGCATGCGGGGTCCCTGTCGTCAACGAGCATTTGTTCCCTCAACTATGCCTCTGCCTGTCGCCGGCAAGCTACCACTGACCGATGTTCCGTTACCTTGGGACATGACATGCCGTCAACTGCTCCCCGGAGCCTGTCCACCATCACCTGCAGCCTCCACAGCGTCTGCATACAAACGCTGGCTATACTTCGGCAGTACCTTTTGGGAAACATTGGCCGTCGTGGCCACCCCAGATGGGCGTCTGGACAATGGCCGTTGGGTTGGTGACCAAGAGACTAGCATCTAGTAGGCCGCCATGCGCGTCTTAGCATCCTGTTCCACCGGGTGATGTGGTAAGCCCCGAGCAAAACGGCTCCAGTTTCTCCTCCACTACTCCACCCTTGGCAAGTAGTACATGCGAAAGTCACTCACGTCACCGACATGCCGCCTCCGATGTTGGCCCTTTGGTACCACGCTTCGGCCTCCAAGTAGCATCGCGTCTACGCCTACCGGAATTGCGCGCCGTCGGAGCCCTTCGGCATGTGATGAGCAATAGCGGCTTACTTGGCCTGTCCACATCTTGTCATTAAACTGTAGTCGCAATGGAGATGGGACAAGGTACTGCAGGAGCTTCAACATCACATCGGGGGTACAAAGCGCGCCTTGTGCCTTGCCCATTTGCCGACAGCTCTGGGATTCAGCTTACAGGACAGGCTTTGCCCCTGTCGCACATCGGAGTATATACTCTGTATATCTATCTCTAATTACCTCGACTCCTACTACGAGCCTCGGACGAACATCATAGTAGCCATTCCTCATCTTTGGTCCGCTAGCAAAAGAGCGCACCGCTGCGCCCATCAACGACGAAGAATCATGGTACCTCTCTGCCGTCCAAGAAGCCGCATTGGCCAATGCCCTTGTACCCCGCATGGAGACGGCTTGCTAGCGTCATTTTCTAGAACTTCACGCTTGGCATCCCCGTAGACTTGAAAACTTGCTTGGACACCTGACTCTTGACAGGACAGTCTGGTTCGCTTCCTCAAAAGAACCACGGTAATGCAACCATACTGAGTACCCCGCGGCTGTCCTCTACACCATTTCAGCTCTTCGTATTGTCACTAGGGAGTACAAGTAGGTACATAAGGTTCCAGGCGGGCTCTGTGCAAGAAAGTGCGCTTGTTCAATTTTGAGCAAAACGTTATATCAAGATTGCGGCTTTGGGGGACCGTCTTGCACGGCTTGGACGGACGTTGAGATGCGCTGACATCCAATCGCTTCGACAAAGGCTCGGGCCATGTCTAGTAAGCCTATTTCCAAGGCTACAACATGAAAGCAAACATGGAACACACTCCTTGTCCATTGTATTGGCGACGAGAGAAATCAATACAGCGCCGCTGACCCTGCAATCTTTGAGGCTTAAATTAGCCCGCAAACCCACGCAAATAGTACATATTCTACAGACTAGGTTGGGCATACGCGTAATCAAACCCGCTGCCCGAAGAAACAGCCGCCTGGTGCCGTTCGGGCCTAGGCCAAAACCAGTAAAAGCACCTCGACGGAAGAATGAAACAGTGACTAACGGTGTCGAGCAAAAGTAATGGTAGTGGGGCTGCTAGAAAAGGCGGTCATGACCACCACTACTTTTGCTAGACGCTGGGGGCAAGCAATGCACGGACTTTTATGGTGACTTGTTGACGCAAAGTAAACATTACCCCTCTTATGCCCCTTGCTTGAGAGCTGAGTCGATATATATGTATGTACGCCAAAACTCTTCATCGCTCTCGAGAGGCTCTGAAAAGGGCGCAAGGCCTCTGCTTGACACTGCACTAGCCCTGCAATCGGGCAGTGCGTCTCCAAGGGCTGAAGCTCTCGGGCGCCGCTCAGCCTCATCATGCTTCCGCCAAGAAGAGAATTGTTCAGTCATAGGCCATCGAGATGTCGTCGGGATCCATTTCCAGGCACGAAGCTATCATCGCAGTTAGGATGAGATTGGTGAAGGGTTCTCTCGACAAGATTTTGGTCAGGCCAACCATGTCGGAGGGCTCAAGGCAGTCGCAAGGCAGCACCGCCTTAGTTTGAGTCAACAGCCTTTTTCGAGTCAAGCTCATACGCCTTTCTTATCATATAACGCTTGTATTCAGCCCAACTCTATGAAGTCACAAATTTCTTTACCATCACCTTGACCATGGGCTGCAAACTCTCTCGAGCGGTGCGACCGCACGCGAAAGTTGAGGTTTCCATCGTCGCGCCTACCTATCACAAGGCTGAGCACGCGGACACACAACAAGAGTGCAAAGAGAGTGTACGGCAACTATCACGACCTTTCTCTTACGACGACATCACAATCACATCTTCAGCCCCGTTGCCGATAGTTTGTCGACGGCGAAACAGCGCGCCCACCACGACGATGGAAACAACACAAGAACCCACTGCTGCCTTCAACCTGTTCCTTGCAGAGCATTGCCTTATGTCGATTCAACTCCCTGATATCGAAATCGATGGGCCCGCCATCGCAACAGTCCCATCCACTCCGGCACCTCTGCAGCCCAGCGATGCTTTGGAAGAGTCCAACCCGCAGCCTAGCGATGCTTCGAAAGGGTCCACCGTTCCGTGCATCACTTGTTGCAGAGCGCAGCCTAACGAAAAGGGCAAGTTTTTCAAGCCCTGTAAGAATTGTGATAGTGTATACTGCGGATCATGTATCAGGTATATGTTTATCAAAGCCTGTGACGACATGACGCTCATGCCGCCACGGTGCTGTGGTCCGATCCAGTTACACCACGCAACGCCTCATCTGTCTAGGGAAGAAATCGCTGTATTCAAAGCAAAGTATGAGGAGTGGCTGACTCCAAATCCCTTCTATTGCCCCGTACCTACATGCTCAGCTTTCATACCGGAACGACTTCTTCCTGAGCAGACAAAAACGGACAGAAAACGTACAGATTCTGGGACTGGAATACCAACTTCAAAGACGTTTGCATGTCCTGCTTGCGAATCGAGCATCTGCTCTGACTGCCGACTGACTGCCCACCCTTCCAGTGCGTGCAATGTCTCCGAGTTTGGCATCGACGAAGAGACCACTAAGCTTCTGAAGAGCTGGGGCTATAAGCAGTGCCCAAAATGCCGGCATGGAATTAAGCGTATGTTTGGGTGCAGGCATATGAGCTGCCGTTGCGGGGCTCATTTTTGCTACAACTGCATGGGTAATCCGGATCTTTGCGAGGGTGATTGTATTGACGACGAAGACTATGAACATGAGAGCGACAATGAGAGCATTTTGGAATCATCGGAGTCATCCGAAACATCTTCCATGCAAGGAGAACATCGAGATACTGAAGCTCGTGTTGCACCATCGGCCGAAACCGTAAACCTCGATAGGGGGACTGCTTCATACTGGGCAGGGCAAGCCCTAGACTTTGGCGACGAACCAGGTCAGGATTTCGCGGACCGCGCTTGGAATTGCTTTCATTTTTTCAAGCCGTACAAGATCGATTTGGCACAGGCTCTCACTGCAGATTCTTCGAACGCAACGCTGGAGTGTGTGAAGTGCTGGAGCACGATATATCCAGTAATCAGAGAGCCGCGCCGTGTTGAGTCGATAGGGCAAGCCCAGACGATATCTCTGGGGTCAAGAGTGAATGACACAAGTACAGAGCGAGTGATTGCCAGAGAGCATGGTCGCGTAAGGAGGCATGGTCAATACGTACCTCCTCATAATCTCTTCCGCGACGACGCCACAATAGGAGTGACGCTTTGCGAAACCAACACGGTGTCTTCTCTCTCACAAAGCGCACCCGACCACGAATCGCCGCTTACGCAATACCTGAACCGGCATTGCGAATCAGTTGTTGATGTCTACGGCAACATCATCTCCCCAGCTGAACCACAACAGCAGCGCCGTGCATCAATGGACAGCCATGACTATCACCTCATGTCTACATTATCACCAAGCAACGGCTCAACAGAAAAGTTCTCGCTTTTCAACCCGGTATCAGCAACCTCGACTTCCCGTACTCCCGATCTTCGAACAAACATTGCCTACGACTGCTCTGACTGCAACCTACTCGTCTGTGACTCCTGCAAAGACGCTTTAATCATCGCGCGGGACCTGGGCGTCGAGAAGCACAAAGCGTGGATGCAAAGACTCGAGGAACAGAGAGCAGTGCGGAATTGAGTGGTTTGAATTCGTAATCGTATTTTTCTTTCCCTCGAAGTTTATGCGGCATGAATGGCGTTTTTTTGGTCTTTCTCTCTCTCTCTCTCTCTCTCTCTCTCTCTTTTTCTTCATTTAGGAAATTAGCGTTCTTAAAGGCAGCTTATGAATGGCGTAGAATTAACGATTCATGTGGTTTTGATGTGAATAATGGATACGAAGCTGTAGTACTGTACTGCCTGTCTTTTTAAAAAAAAAGTACTTTGAGCCACCTTGACAATGACCCTGGATTTCTTTTTTTTATCTTCTGCTTGTTCTTCTTCTCAACTTCCCTTACACACAGTCTCACTACGACTAAAGAAATCCCCGATATACAGGTGTAGCGTCTCATCAATTCCTCTTCCTCACCGCATCTCTCATGCCCCCCACCACCCCTTCTCCTTCCTCCTCTACATACCACTATGCTTTTCCCCCTAAATCTTCTCCGTGCATATTACCCACATTTCTTTTTGTTCTTCTTCTTCTTTTCAACTTGATCATTCTTTTTCTTCTTCTTCTTCTTTTGCCAACCTAACCAACCCCCCCCAAAAAAAAACCCCCCACTTCCAGAAATTTGAAAAAAAAACTGAAATCAAGCAATACAATTCTATACCGTCTTCTGTACATTCTCTCTCTCTCTCTCTCTCTCTCATCCCCTCCAAATTGTGTACATGTCAGATAGGTTAGGGTAGGGTAGGGAAAGAATAATCAATAACTACATGTTGCATCATGTTGTTTGCCCTAGATACCTGCAAAAGGTATATACGGCAATATCCTTACTCGAGTGCCTATTTTGTTCTTTTGAAAGAGACATATACACATACGTATACTGTGAGCTACATTACTTTGCTACTGAACAGATTATTACCGCATGATCCATCCGACTTTCTGCAACCAAGGCAACTGATAGCAGTCAGTTACCCAAAGGAAAACTGTCTCCTTAAACCGTGTACTTCTCTCAATCAAAATTAAAAAACACCACAAATACATCACGCCAGACACTAACGAAGCAAACAATCAAACACGCATGCAAAAAAGGTCGAGCTCAAGTTGACTACATTTTTTTGATACCGGTAAATGAAAAGTATTCACATCCCGGTGCCCTCTCTTTCAAAGATGCTTGATATCGTCCTTCAGCTCCCTGTTGGTTCATCCAGTCGTGAAATAGCCTTGTTGTTCATTCGTTCGTTTCATCCACAACAGACCGTTGGACACGGACACGTCCGGCTTTCAGGCCGCAATGAGTGCTGGCGCTTTCTATGCGCCGAGGCTGGGGAAGGCGCTTGAGTCGGTGATGTTGGGACCGGGGGCACCGCCGCGGCCACCACGACCACGGGCATCACCACGTCCACGAGTCTCACCGCCACGGCCACGTCCGCGGAACTCTCCACGACCTTCGCCGCGACCGCGTCCCTCGCCGTTTCCACGTCCACGTCCCTCGCCGCCACGGAATTCGCCACGGCCACGGCCGCGTCCTCGGCCGCCGCCCTCACGGGGAGGGGGAGCAAGCATACGGTCACCGTCGAGCTCAACGTGAACCTTTTCCTTGCGCGCGCGCTCGCGCTTGGCCTTGCCTTGTCCACCGGCAATGAAGTCTTCTTGGTCGTCGCGGGAAAGCGCAGTACCTTCGGGGAACTTCTGGCTGCTACCCTCGTTGGCCTTGCGAACGTTCTGGGCGGCAAGAGAAAGCTTCTTCTCGGCCAGCTCAGCAAGGTAGGCAGCGTAGGACTTGCTCTTGTCCTCGGGCTCGGGCTCGGCGTGCTCGCCCTCGGCATCTTCCCGAATAGCGTCCTTCTCTTCAGCCTGAGCGATGGCCTCGCCAGCCTGCTCATCAGCCAACTCAGCGTCGCCGTCCTTTCCTCCCCAGCCGTGAGCAACTTGCTTGTCGTGTTCGCTAGAAGATGTTAGCATGGTCAAAGTGGGGTTAAAGGAGGGGAATTTTCTCACCTGATGCCGGTCCTGCTGTGACGGTCACCCTCGCCGCGGGCACCACCACGGCCTCCACCGCGTCCACCACGACCACGACCGCGCTGGCCACCGCGAGCTCCAGTGCCAGTAGGTTCTAGTTGGGATTAGCATCGACACAAACCGACCATTGGATCCCCACTCACCACCAGATCCCCTTCCGCGGTTCTTGTCAGATCCTACGCCACGATCCCGGAAAGCTGTGCTTCATTAGCCCTTGTTCGCATGGATGCTCTACGGAGGTTCTAATGTATCTCCAGCACCCGGCATGTCTGACATACCGTTCTCGTTGGCATTGTCGGTCTGCTTGGCACGGTTCTGGTGGCTCTGCCTCTCGGGGATGGACTTGGGGAGGTCGGATCCATCGCGCTTGCCATGCCTCATGACGGGCTTCTCAATTGCCCTCGTTGGCGGGTCAGCCGGCCTGTTGGGGTCGAGCTCAGGGTCATTGCCTGCGGGGTCATGAGTGTTTGTTCTGCGACTGTGCCATGTATCCAGACATACCCAGCAGCTCGTAAATGTTCTGCACTTGGAGTTAGCCATTGGACTGGATAGAGGACTGCAGCCGGCACTGCAGCTCCCAATTGCGAGGCGCGGATTTGGATTTCGCAGTGGGGTGACTTGAGAGCTTACCTTTGAAGCGATTTGAGACATCTTGACGGATTGGAGCGCCTTTCGCGCTTTGCCCTTCTAGATGCACAATCTGCCGGGTGGAAAAAAGAATTCGAGAGCTTCCCTACGGTGGTTAGGGACGTGGCTCTCAGATGTGGCTCGCGAACGGGGTAATGGGCGCGAAGTTGCGGGCAAGAGGTTCGAAAATCGGCGTGGGTTGCTGCCGTAAGCGAGTCAAGTGGGGCACAGACCATCCGTAGAAGGCACAAAGAAGCACCAAAGGGTAGCTCTCTGTGCCGCCGCGTACGGCGCTTGGACACGTTATTGTACTATCGCTTGTGAGGGGTAAAGGTGACTTTTTTTGCATGTCCAGAAATGCTATTTCACAGGCCCATGGCGCCTGAAAGTGGCTGGTAGAATTTTGAGTGGTTTGCTTATTCCAAGTGCGCATTCAGACGCAAGTCGAAGTTCACCCATAACAAGTCAGGTGCACCCCGCTTTGAAGCGAGAATAGGTGACAGATGAACAATTAGCCAAACTTGCCTTTACTTGTGAATATCAATGTCAGATTCCTGTTTCAGATTTGGTGAGGCGCGAGAATGGCTGTTGCGACCGACTTTGCATTACAATATATACAAAGCAACACTGAATCTCTAATCAAGAGGCTGCGGTGCCACAGTAGAAGACTGGGTTACTTTGTAAAGCATGCCCACTTCCTCATGGCCGGAGCCTAAAAAAAAACATCCCGTCACAAATACAACTGTCGCGTCCAAGCCACAGATTGAATAAAAACTTTTAAATATCACTATCCCAAGGCGACCGGTCTTTCGTATCGAACGCTGTCGTACGGCAATGACACATGGTCGGTTGGGTAAAAGCAGTTGTTGCGCCCGCTAAACAACGTGGTCAAGAAGGTATGAATAGGTGAGTTTCTACACGGTCCCTGGTGGACATCCGGAATAATCTTCTCTTACTATCGTATCGTTCTCGTAGCATCATCTGCTCTCATACATGGTGGGGAAGTGCATGCTGGCGGACAGTCCGAATGGATCGGCGTCGAGCATTGGATCGTAAGGGTCGAAGAGATGGTTGTTGCTCATGCCATTGAAGACTTGGCCACCATCGTTTGGTGCTAATGCGGCCGGGCTGGTGAAGGGAGGGTTCTGGGAAGGCGGCATTGGCGGTGGCATATTGTTTGAAGGTGGAAAGTTTTGTTGTGGGAATGGGCCGGGACCGGCAGAGTGATCGCTCGGATCGTCGTGGTCGTAGGAGTCTGCTTGTTCCTCGTACTCCTGCTCTGTAAAAGGATATTAGCCTAGGATTACAAAGTCCTATACATAAGTAGAGGGGAAGAAAAGGAAACGGGTTAGCGTGCCTAGTTGACTCATGTGGTCCGTGAACTGCGTCTGGTAGAATGAGGAAGGACCGTTGCTCGGTGTTACACCGTTTCCGCTGTTACCGACATTCGAAGCATTTGACATGCCGTTTGAGGAAGGCTGATTTGTTACTAGCGAAGGTCGTTGAGCTCCCATCATAGGGGTAAAGTTTGATCTAGGTGGCTGTGGTCGAAGTGGTTGCTGCTGCTGCTGTGGCTGTTGTTGTTGTTGTTGTTGTTGCTGCTGTTGCTGCTGCTGTTGTGAATGCATAGGTCCAAAATTGGGGGATACTGATTGACCATGGGGCATGAAATTGGGCGAGCGAGTCGCTGATTGAGCAGGAGATGAAAGATGGGAGCCTGGAGTAGGCTGGGTCAAGGGAGATCGCTGAATAGGACCATCAGGTTGGATCATGGGTAGGCCATTGGAGGCGTCAATCTTGGGCGGGCCTTGCAGCGAGCGCCTCTGTTGCTGTCTATTCAACATGGCACGTTGCTGGAGAGGGGCCTGGTTGGGCGAGGCGTGTGCAGCTAGTGGAGGTCTGGTGGCTCCGAGATTTGGACTGCCAGTCTTTGCGCGCAGCTCAGCCTGGACGTCGATGCCTAGAGGCGAAGTAGCGGGTTAGCGCGTGTTGCTTGATCAGACGTCTGGGGAAAAACGGGGTCAGGGCTACCTTTCTCTAGCAGAATCCTCTCGAGTAGAGAATTCTTATACCGGAGCATAAGGCACTCGTCAGCGGCATTGCGGTGACTATTTTGCAGGTTCTGGAGGGTGTCTTCATGATGCTTAATGGTGCTCTCCAATTGCTTGATGTACTCTGTTCTTCGCTCACGGAAGGCGGCCTGGGCCTGCCTGTTCCGCTGCTTGCGCTCTTCCGAGGTGGCATAAATCTTACGAGGGCGTGTTAGTTCTATCATAGACGCGGTAGCAACTGCTGCAGTCATGGGCGGCAATTGGTGGCGGGAGGGCTCACAGGTTTACGGCCGCCTTTGCGCTTCTGCTGCTGGGGCTCTTCCTGGGGATATGGCTCGGCCAGGCCAGGCTCGGGCGACGATCCGATAGACGAGGTCGAACCGTCGCGCTGAGCCTCTACTTTGTCCACGGGAGCCGTCATATCTGTTACGAGACTATCTCCCATCTGCGGCCAGCGCACCCCTCCGTCCTGATAGAGGGGCCGTTGGGCGCCAAGAGATGGGGAAAAGGCGACAAAGGCAGGTCGGTCAGGGTGACAAGAGGCTCTGGTCGCTTAGACGCGCTTGCAGTGGGCAGCCGCAGTGCCGGGACGGGGAATGGATACGGTGTGTATGGGGGATTGATAATGTCTGATAAGAAGAAAGGGTTGGGGCCTGTGGGTGGTCGCGCAGTAGTTGTGAGGTAAGCTCTTGGGTAATGGAAACAAAGATGGGCTCGAACGGAGGGGCGGAAGTGCTGGACTTGAAAAGGCGGGCGGACCACGCTCTTTTGCCCTGCCCAGCGCAGCCAGCTCGACTCCGTGTGGTTAAGACTCGCGGCTGGCCGCCCCAGCAGTGCTTTGTCGGTGGGCGGGCGGGCGGACAGCAAATGGCCACTGTTGGCGCTCCGGCGCTGGGCACCACCTCGCTATGACGGCCAAGCGGGCGGGATGAGCACTGGCTGGCCGCGAAGCAGAGATTTTTTCTTTCTTTCGCGGGGGGGCCTGTCGCAGCCGCAGCCGCAGCGGGCAGTGGCACCAGCAGCACCAGCAGCACCAGCAGCAGCGTCGCATCATCAGCATCATCATCACGAGCGAGGGTGGCAGACTACTATGGGCAGGCCCTGCTTGGGCGTGCGTTCAGTCGACGCCTTGGTGGAGGGGCCCTGAACATGGCTGCTGCTCACGGGCTGGACTGCCATGCCGCCTTGGGCCTAGCACGCCCTTAGCTCCCGCGCCACCACCACTTTTTGCACTGCTTTCTCCGGTTTCTCCAGCGCACGCAGACGCGCCGCCACAGTGCTCGCTGGACTGCCACAGGACACCGCTCGCGGATATGATATGTAATGGACGCACCAGCCCTCTGCTGTTCTCTGCGTACACATGCTACACATACGACCCTCTACAACACACGACCCATCTGCCTGCTCACCCGCCCGCTGCCCCGCTGCGCCACGCGGCTCCGTCACTGTTGCACTCGCTCCGCAAGAGCAGAGGCCGACGTCGGCAGGGCGAGAGCCTGGGTTGGCACATACCGATGACCTCCTCGGCCGGCATATCACCTCTCCTCGTTCGCACACATGGGCTGACGGGAGTGAGGGGGCGCACCCGTCCGCGTCCATAGCTGTCTGCATGACATGCCCCGACCGGCGCCGACAAAAGTCAAATTACAACCACGTCCATCCACCTCGTCCATGGCCATGTCACTACCTGCACCGCGGCGTCTGTCCACCGGCCTGGCTGGCAGCGCACCTGCTCCCGCCGGGAAGCCGCCAAAGCCCCGGGTCACGCCCATCACTAGTACCAACGCCTTGGCTCCCTCGAGACACACCGAGTTTTGGCCATGGGATCGCCGAAGCCGTTGCTTTTATGCACCGCCTGAGCCTCGTTAACCACGTCCAGTCGTAGCGTCGTCGCCCGCAATGTCCGCCTGAGCACCCACCTGACCTGCACACGGTCGAGACTCGCCATACCACTCACCCTCCGCGACCCTCTGCACTGAGAGCCACCGTGAACAAAGGTTCAAATTCCACTGTGCGCCCGCAGTGGGCCGGAGCTGCGTATGCCCCGGATATACTTGCCCCTTTGGGCCTGGCTCGCCGCTGCAATTGGATGTTTACACCTCCAACGACGTTGCAGCAGGGGGGTGCCCTACAGCAACCTCGTCTCCAACCACATGTCTCCCCTCACCCTCCACGCTCGTCACCTTCCCAGTCACTCTCCTCATACGATTCCAGCTAACAATACTCCGAGGCGTATCCATGGGTACGGTACCATTGTTGCTGCTGTCAATGCTACTGCTACTAGAGTACACCTACTGCTGGCGCAAAATATGGTTTATGCTAATGCTTTGAACCGCTCCTCAGCTAGAGTACTATCCGCGGACCGCAGTCCACTGTAACTCTACAGAATTGCACAATGCCTCGTAGAAAATTGCATATTTCCATTGTTGACGTTGCCCATTGCTCTTGCTGATTTGACTACTCTGTGCGACATGATCGTAGAAGGAGCAAACACCCCAACGCTCTTGCCTCACTACTTCACTGCTTTACCCCGCCAATTGCCATAATCACCCATCTCAGAATACGCATTCTTCTTGTGCAACCCTCGGGCCACAACCTCTACTCGTCCACCAACATATCCCAGCATTGACACTGTCTCGTATGGCTTTCTTCCCGTTTTCACTACTTTCAGGTCTCGTATTTACCAATCTAATCCCCTGAAAAGTAGGCAGAAATGGCCTTTTCAGAGATGATTGAATGTCTGCTAACGAAAGCAAGGTCTCGAGTCCGACACTAGGCAGAGATTACATACCAACCTGCATCTGTATCCTCCACCACATCCGGTTGGTGTTGCGACTCCGTCTGTGTCACCCGAATACGACAACACGCAATTTCTGAGCTGCAACGGCATGATCGGCAGCCCTACCAACGGGCCCAGTGCACATCCAGCAGTCGCTTCTCGTACAAAGCCCCGAACTCTATCAGACATTCGTGAAGCAACTGAGTCGACCATTGCTGACACTTTGTCACGCGATATCTTGGCCGGGACTCCTCTCAACTGCCCATCCCCTACCGAAATGTCACCGGCTTCTCATGACGCGTCCAGACAATGTCACAGCAATGATGTTCGGAATGTGGAGAATATTGAACCCGAGAGCAGAAACAGCGTCGAGAGCGATGGTTTGAGATACGTTCGAGGCAGATTTTCAGAAACACCGTCATCACAAAACCTCATAGACTGCAACAACGGAACCAACATATCCAGTGTTTCTGCAAGCAATATCCCCCGGCGGTCATCTTCAAAATTTCGTGTACGCAGTGCTTCAAGAATGCGAAAGACACAGCAAATACTACCCCAGAGCATAATACGAAGCACGACTGCAGAAACACTCAACTTGGTACAAGCAAGGCCCCTATCACCTTCTAGAAGTAGGACTAGTAGCATCCCTAATCATGGCCAATCTCAGTCTCCTGTCCGCCTCACTGCTGCACGCTTCAACCCTGTCGCACATGACACCAATAGGCGCACCCCCTCCAAGACGTTCATTCGTCAGTCTTTACCGAAAGAGCTCCTAGAACATCCGGTACACCGCCATCCCCGAATTGAGCTCGGGTTAGATTTATCAGCAGGAGTATTCGTCGGTGGGGGATGTATTGAAGGGACTGTCCAAATAGACATTGACGATGCGGAGCGAGTACGCCACAGACGAACGCTAGACATTGCTCAGATATCTATCGATCTTCTTGGAATTGAGGAAACCAGCGGCAATAGGCGGGCTGTGTTCCTGAGCCTGGCTACAGAGCTCATTGACAGGGAGAATCCCCCGCCCCAAAACATGGTGGACACGCAGGAGTTAATTGGCCCAGAAAATACATTCTGGCATCTTGTGCCTTCCACTACCAATCTTGCATTCAGCCTTAGTCTCCCACTTGATGTTGGACCCCCTCCATTCTACTCAAAGAACGCGAGGATCCGATACTTGCTCTATGCGTCCCTGCTCATCCGGGACCGGAGCAAGCGGCATCTTGTTAGAACCTCTGAAGATGTCACTGTACTGCCCGTGTATGATCGTATGTCTTCTCACTACGCCTGTCTTTTGGGCGGCTCTGACCATATGACAGCTGAAAAGGCACTGGTTTCACTTCCCAGCCCACTGAATGCCTCTGATGAGTGGATCAGGCCCCGGGGCACGACTGTTGAGGTCGTCCGGCTCACTGCAGGCATACATCGTCAAGTATGGGTCAGCGGTACAAACATTTTCAGCGACGTTTATATTGCCAATAATAGCCACAAGACAGTGAAGAGGATTGAGCTTCAGCTGGAGAGAGACATACTGTGCTACAAACATGTTTGTAGCAAAAGTCTGTTCTGTTGCTTCTTGCTGATGCTAATGAGAACTGTGTGCAGGCTGCTGCATCCACTATGGAGAAGTCTGCAGGTCAGGCTCGTATCTTTGACAGCAATGAGCGTACCATATTGAGCAAAGCAATGGTAAAGAATGGCTCGGCTGGCTGGCATGGTGTGGCTGCAGGCCAAACTCACCTCCGTACCTGCGACCTGGAAGTTCCCCGTGGGCATGCTACAGTGAAATGTGGTATGAAATTACCGCCATAACATAGGCAGACCACTAATATTGCATGCAGGCAAATATTTTGAAGTCCGATATTTCCTCAACGTTATCGTCTGCAGCGCAAACACGTTAGGATGCACGCAAAGTTTCACAGATCAAGCTGACATTGCGTAGAAGGCTTGTTACTGTTCAGCTACCGATTGTGCTTATCCACATGGTGCGTGTCATCACAAGAATGTGTCCTCTTTGCCCTCGATTGACACCTGCGCCACAGAACTCTCTCGACGTAGTACCCAACTCCGTCACACAAGTGGCTTTGGCGATTGAGGAGAAGCGTACCGCAAATCACTCACCCCCACGTCTCAGTCGGCATACCTCTCGATCCGTTCAAGGCCGTGCATTTGCAGCACCACGCACAGAATCCCTCAAACGCGTTCGCGACCGGGACGAGACGATCCAAGAGCTAGGCCGAACCCTTGAGCAAAGCCCTCGCAAGTACAACCTCCGCCGCGCAAACTCGAATTTCGACTACCGTACGTTGCCTACAAATACACATGACAGGACTGCGGGACACGGCAAGGCAGCAGACCTTCAAGATCGTCTGCGTCGCATTCGGTCCAATGATGTAGTCGGTCCCAAATATCCTACTACCTTGCAAAGAATGCATTCTACAAAATCAAGACAAGGCGCAGAGTCGGCGCTTGGCTTTCGGGAAGCGGAGATACATGAGGATACTGAACTTGGGGAGTTGGATTCGAGTGGTGATGGGCTGTTGGGAGCGAGGTTGGACGGAGTAAGTGAGCGGCCATATTGGTTTAGCAAAAGGAAGAGTTTTGAAAAGTGGAAGGACATGGCCAATCTTGGTGTTGGATGGCTGAGGAGTGGTTGATATTAGATAGTTGGAGAGGGATAGAGATGGGTAGGTACAACGTTGTTTCTTCGTCTTGCATTGGGTGTGATATTTGGTCATGACTCTATTATCATACGCTCATATCTAATCGTCCTTGTATCTTTTTTTTCCCTTAACCCTCTTACCCAAACTAATTCATATCGTACAGTAGCTTCCACACTTTTTTTACTTATTACATACACCCAATGTTAATATACAAGATTAACAACACAATCACCTCCTCACGCCCGACTCTTACTCAACTCACTCTGCGCCGTCGCCGTCGGACCCCCCTTAACCCTCTCCCCACCCGTAACCTTCTTCTCCCCAACAGTAATATCATGCAACGCCTGACTCGTAATCGGCTCATTCGCATGGCTCTGCGCATGCGCCGTAGGACCATCCTTAACCGGACCATCCTGACCCGTAAGTTTCTTCTCTGCCTCTGTAATTTTATGCAGCGTCGTCGAGTCCAGGGTACCGGAGTGCGATGACGTCGTTGCATTCGCAGCGTTATTATTATTGTTGTTGTTGTTATTATTGTTGTTGTTAAGACTATTGCCAGATGTCAAGGCCGACTGAGCGATAGATGTAGGACCGCCTTTTATGGCATCCTCGCGCCCTGTTATCGCCCTCTCGGCCATGGTGATGTCGTGGATTATGCTCCCCGTGAGTGTCTGGCCGGCGTGTGCTTGGGCTTTTGCCGTGGGACCGTTGGCGACGGGCTTGTCGCTGCCGGTTATGGCCTTTTCGGCAGCTGTGATTTGCGAGATGAAGGTTGAGTCGATTTGAAGGGCTGGCTGCGGGGTCTGTGAGAAGGGGCGCGTGGTGTTGTGGTTGCTTAGGTCGTTGGTAGAGGTTGTGCCGAGGCGCAGTGCGCATGGTGATGTAGGGGTTAGCCGCGCGGTTGGGCGGGCGAGGAGGAAGTTGCGGTTTAGACGGAGAAATTTGGATGCCATTTTTTGGGGGTGGTACGAAGAGGTGTGATATGGTGGTGATCTTGGGGTTGTTTTCGACTACCTTTTTCCTATACAAATGCGAAGGAGAGGGAATCACAAGACGTGAGCTTGTCTTTTATGTATACCGTGATGGAACTCTGATGTAATGTCCATATTCCACAAAACAATGCGCTTAGACCCTTAGAACAGCATACCCGTGTTTTGTGTGGGAGAGGTGACGTTACTATGGGTCCCAAGAGATGGCATTCTACGCTGTTTGCTGTTCATGGCCGTGCTTTCTTTTCCCTAGGCCATTGCAAATTTCTGCATCAATGGCGTTTACATTGCGATGATGATCCTGAGATGCAGGGAACCGCATCACCGATGGCGTTGGCGACAGCGCGATGCGTGTCGATGGTGTGGTGGAGCTATGATGTCAGCATCTTCTGGGGAAGAAGAGATGATGCGCCCTCCCTGCATGCCTCTTCACACATCTCACCTCTTGCAGCCCTTAGATGCGGGCTACCGTCTGCTAGTTAAGCGCGCGTGTGATGACGCCGTGTCAGTCTTGGCATACAACAGTATCTCTTACGTTAATGGGGACCCTCTCAATTGGCGTTTAAAGAGACTTGCTGCAACACCACCACAGTGCCAGTGTTGCGTGTATGGATTGGACATTTCGCGGTGGTTATTCATTTATGCTATGTAAGAAATCGAAAGGTAATTGTACTGCATAGTACTAGCATGCGGGAGCAGAATAGCTGCATGTTGTGTTATGTTTCTTCTCTTCTTGATAGACGTCGGAAGTCTCCTACTCAATTCACTCCTATTAAAAATTATATCGACTTCACTATCCACACAGTGCGCGAAAACCATACGTACATGATTACGTGTATTTGGAAAATGATCCAGCTTTGAGGGTTCGTCTCAATTCAAGCCTTATTACTACTATGATCCTCGTATATACCCATAATGTCTCGCCGAACCAAGCACTTATTTGGTCTACCATGTAAAGATAGTTTGACAGCGGACTATCCACTGGGATATCCCTGCCATGATACAAATTTAATGCTATATCTCTGGTAAATATTATACTTTAGATACAAATCACATCACCACTTTTGCATATCAAAGCGAGTCCTTCAACAAACCAGGTCCTCACAACGGGACCAAACATACTGATAAAGATTGATCAAACTTGAAACCATTTAAAAACCCATTACATGCTTGAACGCTTGCACAAAATAAAAGCTATCTCAAAAAAGGAAGGAGCATGCCAGTTTCCCAGCACTTTTACGGCGAGGTCCGTCGAGGCCTGAATCTCGTATCGAAACCCTTTTGATTGACAAACCACGCGTTGTGAGTTTTCCACTCGGAATTCGGGCGTGCAAGCTCAATCTGTAGAAAAAAAAATTCATGTTAGCATAGTTCTCGAACTGCGAAAAAAAGAAGGCACGGAAAGAAAGAGAACTTACCTCAAATCTCCTCAAGAAACTTGGAACAAGCTTGTAAATCTCCAAGAGGCTAATGTTCTTGCCAATGCACGTCCTGGCTCCAGCACCAAACTGCAACATGGTTCCCTTCATCTCCTTGAGCTTCTCGGGCGTCGCCTCGAGCCAGCGCTCTGGACGGAAAGCCTCAACGTCTAGACCAAAGACTTCGGGTCGGCGATGCACGACCCAGGCGTTGCAACCGACGATTGTGCCGCCGGGGATGAATTCGCCGTTAATTTGCATGCCCTGTGGCGGAACGATGCGCTCGAGGAGGAGACCGGGGCCAGGGTGGAGACGGAACGATTCTTGAATGACGGCGTCGAGATAAGGGAGTTTCTGGGTTTCAGACCACGAAACGGTCTTGTCGGGGCGCGATTCGATGGTGCCGTCGGCAACGGCGGTGTCGAGTTCTCGCATCAGCTTGGCGTAGGCATGGGGGTTCTTGATGAGGAAGTAGAAGACGGAAGAGAGGGAAAGGGCGGTAGTTTCCGAGCCGGCAAAGATCATGGATGTGCATGTGGAGAGGATACGGTTGTCGTCCATGAACTCGTGGTCATGACTAGCTTGCGCGAACTTGGAGAGGAGATCGATACCGTGGGGGTTTGCCCTCTCATCGTCTGAGAGACCGAAGCGCTTGATTTTCTCTACCTGGTTGGCACGCTCACTGGAGCGCTTCAGGGCAAAAAGCGTTACTGGATGGACGCGCTTGTCCAGACCGATGCGCTGAGCAAAGAGCAGGATTGGGTTTCTCCAGAGAAAACGATCTAGGATGGGCATTTGACCAATCTAAGGAATGTAAGTACAACGATGTACATGGAGGTCCCTACACGAGCAACTTACCGGTGCGACGTAGTCCAAAAATTGACCCAAGAAGCCAATAATGCCGTCCACATCTTTGTTGCCCTCGACGAATCCAAGACGCTTGCTCCATGTCAACTCGCCGATGACGTCAAAGGCAAAGTACTGGAGCCATTGACTGAAGTTGCAGGTGGCACCAGGATTGGCGAACAGCTGTTCCGTCCTGTCGAGGAAGTATGTAAGCGTCGAGCTTACGAGAGGCTCATAGCTGACAAGCGAACTCATGGCGAAAGCATTGTTTACGCATCGGCGGTATTTTGCGTGGAAGTCTTCGTCGGTAGTACTAAAGAGAGATGGTAGAGATTTGCCCTTGGCCACTGCGCGTTGAACGGGATAGAACTCAGACTGAGAACGATTAGGCAACGCTCGGTAAACTCTTTTGTTGTATTCGTACCTTTGTGAATCCCTTATTCAACCCATATATGACCTTGATCGCCTTGGGGTCCGCAAAAGACAATACATTGGGTCCTATCCGTACAATATCTCCATGTTTGCGATGCAGTGCAATAATTTTCCAGTGGTGGTTCCGCGTGTATACGTCCAGTACCCTCCACCAGTTGGTATATGCAGCAAGCCGAGGTCCAGGATATTTGTTTAGTCCTTTCCAGTACTTGTTATTGAGTAAAAACGCAAGCGTAGTCGTAGCCAGCACGAGCGGCCAATATCGCACGAGCAGCGGAAGGATCTCGTTGACAATCATCTTGTGTAACCCAGTGTCAGCGGTGATAGGTGCTGTCGATCCAGGGTCCAGGTATTCACGATGTCCGGAACAAGATAGGTAGAGCCCTTTATATATGATTATCGGTATACATGCTTGAATATGCAACCGGCAGCTTGCACTCGGATCTGTGCCGTCATTTCCTGATACAAGGCACTCGGATGCCACCGGTCTGGTCTAAGTTACGCGTTCAGGTGCTTGTGCGCAGTGGTTTGCGTCGGCAGTTGACATGTTTGACGTGAGACGGCGGAAGTGGATCGGTGGCTACAATGGAACGGCTGAGAAGAATCGATAGCGCGGGGAAGGAAGAATCCCAGAGTTTTCGCGGGGTAGTAGTAAACATTTATCAATACTAAAATGCGTCTACAAAACCGGACTTTAATTTACGTTGTTTTTTACATGAACATCTAGTCATTTCAGCGCGCTCACTCTTTCCGCGGTGCATTTAGCGGGCAACGCATACACAAAACGCCGCGCATTGTCAGAATCTTAACATATTCTCTCACCATTATCGGAATTTGGCTCACACCGGCACGGTCATGCTGCACGCGCTCTGTGCTATTCCAGAACTGCCGACGTTGGTTGTCTCAACAGCTAAACCTTGTGCGAAGGATAAGGAGAGATTGTGGACCTTGGAAATGTCGGCAGTTGTATCGTAATGTCATAATCGCAACTGCCGGTCTCTTCTTTTAGCCGACTAGTAGGCGGCTCAAGGGCCCCGACGCTCCGTATTGCTGCACGTGACTATGTACACTTATAGATTCGAAAATTGGCGCATGTCATATTATATGTACGACGTCACTTTTAAGATAGCAATAATCGATGTACGCCCTACGTGAAAGATAAGAAGTAGCATTTACAGCTGATAGGGTTGGTGTCACGTGCATCCCTGAATCCAGTTTGAGGCGGTTCCGATATGACGAGGCTGACAACTCAGCATTTGCCAGTTGTCTCTTATCAACTCAGCAAGATATTCCAGACAACGAACTGTCATCTCCACAGAAAACTCATATAGTTACCTTCAACGCTGCCAACTGCACTGTGGTATGCCTCGGTATCACAGCCTTCGTCAGGTGCTACAATATGGGTGACAGCCTACAGGCCAAAGCATTTTTGACAGCTTGTTACTCTTCTTGACACTACATCTTGAGATCCCCTGCACCAATCACACTTGATATACATCACTGCACAAAAGAACCAAATGTCTTCTTATCTATGGACATACGGAACTCTAACAAAAACATAGCAGTCAGCAAGTAGTGATTTCGCAGCAATCCAACGAGCCATCAATAGACATGGTGAGAAGATTTGAGCACTCCTATATTACATACTTGCATGTGGTTCGGCCCGAAGTGATCTGAGGATTGACACCAGGTCCGCGTATAGTGACCCAGTTTTCTCTCGCACTTCAAGTAATACGCATACCACATCTTCCCTGTCAGCCAAGACTAAAAGTGCACCATCGGAAAGAATACCTCCGTAATCTACACTACTGGGCCCCATGGATATACCAAGTTTACATGAACAAAATTTAGGAATTTCCACAGGGCCTGGATTTCGGCGTAGCCGCGTTTCGCAGTACACACTGTCTCATCTCCTGGGACTTGAATTTCTGTAGGCCATGCACGGGCTTGTAAAAAAAAGCAGTTTTGATGCACAAAACCCTTAACCCCGCAAACGATTCTGGGCCTAGGTAGACCGGGAATGAGTACGTACGATAAAACATTAGTGGGGGATGAGTGGGAAACATGAGATCGGCGTGAAACAACAAATGCTACTGTAGCATCTTAAGCTCAAAAAAGGAAATCAAAGTGAGGCCGAAGGTCTACATCTCCGTGGGGGCAATATATGGTTTATGATGAGCGTTTTCGTAAAGGGATATGTCAAGAAAGTCATCACAGGGATCGTCGCTCGTTCGCGGATGCCATGTCGGCGCTGAAATCCCAAGATGGAATATAAACCGCATGGACGATACTATCAGGAGGTGGAGACAACCATATCTTGGAGATATAGCTTTGAAGACTTAGCTAGCATTTCTCCCAGTAGTTCAGTCTGCGAGACAAGTGTATACAGAACCACTTGTTTCTGGAGTCCCATGGTACGATACGGCAAAACTTCCCGAATGAGAAATGGCTAACGTTTGCTTATTGAGCACAAGAAAGAACTCTTTTAGGGGTACGTCAGCGGCGGCTGGAGATGGTCTAGACGCCATAGTGGAGGTCGAGATGCTTTGACTGTGGAGTGGGAGACTAGTCGAAACAGTGAGGAGTCTGGCGAAGCGCCGACAGAGTTCAACAGTTATGCCGTGCATGCAATGTGCTCAAGAAGGTACGCTAGTGCAGGGAACATGGATAAAGTGACGAGCGAAGCCACCGATGAAGAGCAAAGGCGACCTTTTTTCAGTGCCTAAGACTCCACCGATCAGCCTTATATGTATATCAGTAAACATGTGTGTGTGTGTGTGTGTGTGTGTGTGTGTGTGTGTGTGTGTGTGTGTGTGTGTAGACAAGTGTGACAGTCGAGGGACAGTTTGAGGGGTCAGGGTGCCGACAGCCACTAGGGGCCCATCCGATATCCCCGATCGTGGTGTTCTCAAAGATGATATGCTAAGGTGTGCGGGTGAGGAGTTGGTGTGGTGGATCCCAGAGATGCGGTAGTCCAAGCTCTCCGTCAAGGATGATGGGGGAGCGGCTGGTGTCCAAGTCCCCCGCCTGCAATCTATCCAGGAAGGGATGGGTAATGGACAGCCACCAACTCGGGGCAGACCCCTTATACAGAGTGTAGTGTGGGTGGCCCATGTTCCGTTCTCTTTCAGTGACATCTGTTTTGAGACAACTATACGCGAGTGCATTAATACCTCGTCGGCAAGGTTGAGCTCAGGGTGTATCGATGTTTCCTAAACAAGGCGGGACAAGCCAAGTGTAAGTTGTAGATCTAGCCCGCTTACTGCTGAGGAAAGTAAGACAGTATGGCACCATGCTAAAAGGGAATGTTGGAGACAGGGGCTTGGGCAACTATTGCGGGTGGCCAGATGCAGCTGGCGTAACGTCAATACGGTGGTGATAGCAACCCGTGTCTAGAGGGAGACCGTTGGGTTAGCAGTCACAATGGCTTGCGGTGCACCTGCATTACTGCCCACCACGACTTGAGGATGGACAAGGGGAAAGCTGGGGGGGGGGTGGACTAGAGATACAAGGTTGCAGCGCGGGAAAGGATTTGGGGGGAGGAGAAGTTTGGTAGCGCTCAAGATGGGAGGGCAGCGGCGCGCAAGTGCGGTCAAAACAAGACGGGCTAAATTTTTTTCTTGTTGCAAGTGCAGGTTTGCTTGCCATGAGTGAGTCATCGGGCTCTGTCACGATAGCTGCATGGATGGAGCCATGGATGATGTGCGGGCGGTGCCCTGCCAGCGTGTAAGTAGCAAAACGCAGGCGGGTGGAGGAAATGTTTGCATGAACAGTCATAGGACATGAGGAATCTGCATCGTGAGCGTCATGTTGTGCGTAGGTGGGCGCGAGGACAGGGCCTGGGTGAGGGATGAGGGACGAGGGACAGGCAGTGGATGAGTCGTGGGGGCTCGGAAGGAGAAAGCCGGTTGTGGTCGGCTCAGTGGGGCGGCTAGCTTGACAGAACCCTGTCGAGCTGAAAATGCGTGAGCATGAGCGTCGGGTGTCTATGGAGAGTCAGACGGTCGGAACATTGCCGTTGCGACTAGAGAGCACTCTACGCCGAGAGAGGCATACTGTATGCGCATGCTACAGCAAAACACCATTGTCTATGTGGGGTAGGCCGCAACGCCGGTCGCCCTGTGGGTTTTGCCCCCCGGATATTCGTTTGCGTGGGAGGCGCAGTCGACATGTCTGAAACATGGGACATGTACGGTAGGCTGGGTGCTATCGATAAGACCGTCGCGCTGGGACTGAGACGACGACTAGGACCATCACTGGTCCATATCGGACATGCCGGGCACTTGCGTAATGCTCTTCACCATGCTTCACTTGATCGCCCTCGCTCTCCAATCGCGCCGACGAGGACGTTGCGGGCGTTCAGTGACGAAACCCATCTCCTGGGCCCTGCATGCTCTGCTCCGCAGAGAGGCGAAGCTTTTCTTTTGGGCGGACGGTAGTATCTATCTAGTACATGGGCCGGCTGCTCGGACAGGGCGAATTATAGCCAGCATTGCCAGTTTTTTTTTTGCAAGCAAAAAAATAGATACTGTGGAGAAGGGTACCGTCCCGTGTGCACCGTACTCTCTACTGTAAATCCCACACAGTAGTACGTAGGGTACTTCGGACATGTGCGAGAGCGTCGGCGGTGCCGCCAGCAGTCGACCGTCACCGCCTTGCACCGCCTGCCCTGCCTGCACCGCCGCAACAGCGCATCATGTGCTCCGGCCACATGAGTGAAGTGGCGCACCGCATCACCGCATTGCCAGCAGCAGCATCACCGACAGCAGAAGCATCGTCAGTGCCAGCGTCATGAGGTGCTTCGGGTCGTGCCATGGCTGCCCACAGCCCAAGATGGCATGCAGCCTCTTCCTGCTTCAGCAGCCGCCGGAGCTACTCGACAATGCTACTCTTTGCTCTGCTAAGCTTCTGGGCCGTGTCTGCAAGAGCCGGTGCACATGATCGCGGGTTTCTCGGTAGACCAACCCTGCCCTCCCCCCTGTCCGACCCGCTGATTGGACCGAGTGTTTGCAGCCCATTTTTAGGCTCAAGCAACGTCAACCTGTAGACTGCCCAAGACTACCTCGACTACACCCACTCGCAAGACTCTGCCAGCAACACACCCCTTGACAAGCGCAGAAAGCCTTCACCCATCCCTTGCACCCCCCGGCCCCCCCGAAAAGGGTATCAAAGCCGCTGCGGTCCCCTCTCCATCTGGACGCCCAGGGAAAGCTTCTGGAATCCGTGTCATGTTGCAACACCACATGCTCGACAGTAAGCTCAGTCGCAGGCTTCACTTTTTTCCCCTTCGCCAGCTCCGCCAACGGCGTCTAGTCCACTCCGTCTAGGTGCTGCTGCTGCTGTCCTTCACGGCCGCCTGTTACGGCCGGCCGGCCCCCGTGTGCTCTTGTGCGTCTCGTCGAGCCATGGCTCTGCCTGCTTGCTGCGTATGTACATGGCTTCAGCTGCCATGGTCAACGAGCCAGTAATGCTCTCGGCCATACTCGTACACTAACTTTGCTACTTCCACTCGAGAGGCTGATCAAGCGCCTCGTTGCTTCTCATCTCCGGCCATGCATGTCCAAATCGTCATTTGCACATTGTGCCCGCCATGAGCAGCCCGTCGCAATCTTCGCTCACGCCTATCCACGTGTGCACAACGCTTTCGCCGTGCCCGTCGGTCAGCTTAGATCCGACTAAACCTGCAGCCTGCATATTTTCGCCATATGCACGTTTAGACAAGCTAAAATGCGCTGCGCAGGCAAACGGGGCAGTGTGCATGAAATCCTTGCCGAGTGTGTGGCCACGCCGAGCGGCCCATGATCGTCGCTTGTAAGCTCTTAAGAGATGGCACCCACCACCACCACTAGCCTTTCTTCACCCTCCGCCTCCCACCTCGCCTTCCCCCCTCCTCATTCGCCCGCCCTTCCCTGTCTCTCCATCTCAATCAAAGGCGCCTCAGCAATCACCACATCCGCCCAGAGACATTTTTTTTTACCTTTACAATCTCTTTTGTTTCTTTCCTTTAAATCGTTTGAATCCGTCCCATCTAATATCGCAATCCGTCTCGCACCTACCACCCTGAAACACACATACCCAAGGCCACTATGCCGATCTCGTTACTACCCGCTTCGGCTGCGGCCTTTGCGCCCCGTTCCAACGTCAACGTTGTTTTGGCCTCAAAAGCCGAGCCATGGTTAACACAAACCTTGAAGAGAGTCAACCGGGTCAAGCAGCCGTTGAACAGTGTACAACAACACACGCGCTGCCTGACCGAGACACTATCCGGCCCAAATGCCATCTGGTCGCTTTGCTCCATCATGGTACCAAAGGCTCCCGACTCGGAACTGCGCAAGAACTCGAACCCGCTCGTCCAGTCTCGGTTGAACTACCAAACCATCCACATCGAGGCCTATGTCGTACACGTCGACATGGTTTCACAACATGAGGTTGNATTCAAGCTTACACAGGAGACCATCGATGCGCTTATTGAGTACCACAAGGACATCTACTCGGTTGATGTCTCCGCCAGCACCTGGGAGTGGGCTGAGAAGGAGCA